GGAAAAAAGAATGGGCAAAGAAGTAGGACAGTCTCTTCAATTAGGATAAGGAGAGAAGTTTCATGTTAGTACAGTATCTCCAGCAAACTAACAGGAATACTTACAGAGTTGAATATTCCCCTCAAAGTCTCCTACTAATTTTATGACTCAAGCACATTATTTCTCTGGTCTAGTTTCTTAACAGACGCTACTTGACAGAAGTAGATTATTCAAACAAACAAGATGAAGAACAGTCCTGGGAAGATTATGCTAGAAAACCAAATCTCCCCAAATGTTGGGATACGCTTACAGAACCAGACAGTCAGGAGAAGAAATCAGAATCCTTCAAGTCCTGGGAGTCTCCTGTTAAGCACCAGGAGTTATCAAAGCCTACAGTTTCCTCAGAACAGAGGAAACAAGAGATTTCAAAACTCAGGTCCACTCTGCAGGAAGAGCAGAAGAAGCAAGAGACCTCTAAACCCAAGCCAACTCCTGGCCAATGGAAGCAAGAAACTCCTAAGTCCAAAGCAGGATACATTCAGGAGGAGCAGAAGAAGCAGGAGACACCAAAGCCTTGGCCAGTTCAGCTGCAGAAAGAGGAGGATCCAAAGAAGCAAACTCCAAAGTCTTGGGCACCTTCTCAGCAGAATGAACAGGCCATCACCAAATCGTGGACCACTCCCATGTGTGAAGAGCAGGATTCAAGACAGCCAGAGGCTCTAAAATCCTGGGAAAATAATGTTGAGAGTCCAAAACACCCTTTAACACCACAGTCACAGATTTCTCCAAAGTCCTGGGGAGTAGCTACAACAAGCCTCATTCCAAATGACCAGCTCCTGTCCAGGAAGTTTAATACAGAACCCAAAGATGTGAGTTGATATGTATTAGTCTACTTCTGTCAATGTACTCATTGAAACCAAACCTATTGCTGTTGAGTCAGTTCTGACTCAGCAACCCTATAGGACAGAGTAGAATTGCCCCATAGGGTTTCCAAGGAGTGGCTGGTGGATTTGAACTGCCGACGTTTTGATTAGCAGCTTAGCTCTTAACCACTGTGCCACCAGGGCTCCTCTGTTAGTGTAGGCATCAGTAAAGAGTTGGGTAATGGTAATTTTTTAGCTCTCTTAAACAAACAAAAAACTTAACGTATAAAGTATTTCACCTAACTCTTTAATGGGTAGATTTATTATTTTCCCTAGAAAATTGGAAGATAACCTACTCTTTCTTTGATCTTAACCTAAGATTACATCTTCACAATTAGAATATGTTAAGTTTTAATGCCAGAATTTTAATGGCATAATAGGACATTGAAGTGCTGGATAGTTCAGGTTAAGACCGTAATGAGAACAAGTGGGTAAGGTAAATGCACATCACAGGGTGGGAGACTTGTTATATTTCACTTATTATCTTCCGAGTGACTTTTTCTGACAAAATTTACATTTTCCTGTATTCTCTTTTGCTCATTTCTAGCCGTTCAGATTAGCTTGTACTTATATGAAGAAGGTACATAGTGGCTGAGATATTCCAGTACTTGGGGGAAGGATCTGAATTATTTCCATTTCAAAATAAGAATTTTCTGGAGATAGGAAACTATAGGTATTGAACATTCTATAGCTAGGTTTTGAAGTGTAAGATTTAGTTAAAACTTACGGTCTCATACTGTTAATGTTAAAGAACCTATTTCAGGAAGATAAGGCTTATAATGAATAATCCTTAAATAAAATTCTGTGTTATTGTTACCTTTTATTAAATTATAGATTACTTGTTTACCACTATTCATGATGAAAAATCATTGTCACCTTAGTTGAATTTCTCTATTTCTATATAGTGGTATTCCTTATACTTCCTATGCCATTTTAGCCAAAGGCTTTCTGAAAAATTTTTGACCCTTTAACATTGTGAAAAATATTTTGCTCAGGAGAATCAAACCCTTCCATTTTATAAGTGAATAAGTTACTCTGAACTGACTTCTACCTTATGGGAAGAGAATTTTAGAATTTCTCATTTCTTCAATTGCTAATATTAATTTTAGCTTCTTCTTGTTCCTGCAGAAGTTTGATAGCTTTATTTTGTTAACCATATATCATGCAACAGTAATTGTAATATCACAACTATTTTGAGAAACATATTTAAAAGCCCAACTTAGTACCTCAATAAAGCTGTTTATAAAAACCTAATTTAAAATTCCACTAGGTATAGTAATACTAAGACTTTAATATACCAGAGTATTGAAATCATGTTATTTGCTGAATAGGATTTATAAATGAGGGGTTCTTAGGGAAAAGTCAAAACTCATATTTTACATTTATGACAGACAATATCATTGAAGTTGTAGGGTTTTCTTCAGTGACTGAGGGGACTTTCTTTGTAAAATACAGTATTTGTTTCTCCATCTATCTTGTAATCTCAGCTGTCTAGAATGTGCTTAATACAGTTCTAAGCCAATAGATTAGGTAAGACGAAATTAGTCACTAAAGCTCATACTTTTCTCCTAAAACAGCCTCTCATATATTTACTTGGGGTCTGTTAACTCTTATTTGTTACTTTTGACAAGCTTAGCTGCACCACTTCCCAGTGAATTAGAAAGTGGAGAAGAGTAGCTGGTGTAGAGACATGCACACTGACAGCTGTAAGAAGTAACTATAAACATTGGGTCTAACTCAGGAAGTGCAGCAGTCTTAAGCAGTTTAGCATGAGGGCTCCAAAACCAAGTCTATTGTCACTGAGTCAATTTCGACTCATAGCGACCTTGTAGGACAGGGTAGAACTGCCCCATAGGGCTGTAATCTTTATGGAAGCAGACAGCCACATCTTTCTCATGGAGTGGCTCGTGGGTTCAAACCACAGACCTTTCAGTTAGCAGCCAAACTCTAACCATTGCACCATCAGGGCTCCTTGTGTGAGGGTTAGCTGCCTTATAAACATCAGTAGCTCCCAACCCTATACTTAACTTTACAATAAAATAAAATAATGTGTTTTTTCAATTTTAGGATTTATGTATTTTTTTAAACATCTTAATGGTTCTGAAATTGGATGCATCTTAAAAATGGGTATATATTTAATATGTAGTAGTAATTTTTTCTTTGGGAAAAAAATCTATGATGTGTCTCATAGTTGGTGGCATTTTTTAGAAGAAATATGGTAATTGATGTCGGTATGAAAGCACCTTATCAAGGAAGTTCTGTTATCCTCAGTCTTCCATTTAAAACGAGAATATTTTATGTTTTAGAAAGATCACTATTAAAGTGGTTTTAAGGGGGAAGAACTGTTTAAAGTTTGTTTAAATTATTTGGAAAATGCACTTATGTGAAAATTCTTTACTTGAGATAAATCTGATAAATAAGTGTTGCTATATGTTTTGATTTCATTAAGATGTAGTAATAAGCTCACTATGAGTTGGAATTGATGGCAATGGATTTGGTTTGGTAATAAGATAAATTTCCTGATTTAGACCATTAAATTTGAATTTCACTGTTATACATTATGGGTATATTTTCTAGGTGCCTAAGCCTATGCATCAGCCTGTAAGTTCTTCCTCTACTCTTCCAAAGGATCCAGTATTGAGGAAGGAAAAACTGCAGGATCTGATGACCCAGATCCAAGGAACTTGTAACTTTATGCAAGTATGAGTCATTCTTAAAAGAATCTTAAATGATATACGTGGGGCTTAACTTCTGATCTGAAGCGTTGTGAAGTTTTTAAGAGCATAGATTCTGAGTATGAATCCTTACTGCCACTTCTTAGGTCTGACACCTTAGGCAAGTTGCTTAACTCTCTACCTTAATTAGTTTAAATCTGAAAAATGAGAATAATAGTTCCTGCTACCTAAGTTTGTTGTGACTAATAAAATGTATTAAATGTGTAAAAAGAGTAAAAGTGCTCAAGAATAATTATTGCTATAGATCATCTGTAGCTTCCACTCAGACTTATGAGAACCTACTTTGTGCTTGGTATTCTGTTAGGTGCCAGTGTGTATAGAAAATCATAAGATATTCACTGTCTTCAAAGAGTTTATATTCCAGAAGATTGTAAACTTGTACAAGATCAGTAATTAAATGCTAACTTGTATGATACAATATGCTTAACTAAATTGTGACACAGAATTTTGGAACAGTATGAAATTACTGAGGCCTGTAATAGTGAAGTAAGACACACTGAAATAGTAAAAAAAATCTTGAGCTTTGGAGTTACGCCTAGGTTTAAATCCAAGTTCTACCACTTACCAGCTCTGTCACCTATGAAAAGTTAGTTAGCCTTCAGGCTTCTGCTTATCTTTAAAATGAGAGAACTGCCTGCCTCGTCAGGGCATTTGAGGATCAATAAAAAACCAAAATTCTCACTACAGTGTGTGGTTTAAGCATTCAAAATGTTAGATACTTTTCTGGGAGAGCCAAGATAAGGAAATGGATGAAGAGAATGGCTTCTTATCATGAAAGTGTCTAACAGCATGAGTAAATGGTTGATATAAAATAATTAGACACTGTCACTGGTTGAGTATAATAAATGAGGGTTCAGCCTAGACTACGATTAATGCCTCAGGTCAGGAGTTTCTTTTCTAAGTTAAGCCTTATAATTACTATTGTAATTTTAATACTTGATACAACCTTAAGATTTGGCAGTTACTTTAGATTTGATATTTAACTCTTAATGTCTTCTATAAAAAAGTTTTTAACATCTTCAGGTGGTTATTATTAACATCTTGAGAGAGTTATTAGATACCCATAGCTAATACGCTTTGGGCAGCATCATGAACAACTTGATACTAGCTTTTAAATGAATAATCCTTGATCCTTCTCGTTATTTAAAATCTTGCCTTTAGGAATCTGTTCTGGATTTTGACAAACCTTCAAGTGCAATTTCATCGTCACAGCCGCCTTCAACTACTCCAGGTAGCCCAGTAGGTATGTAATCATTTTCAAGAATTGGAACAAACAGTTTTAGGTCTAACAGTTGTTTCTTTCGCAAACTGTTCTACTCCAGATAGTTTAAGGGTTGAACTATGTCTCTGTTAATTTAATCTAGACGTATCTTTCTGTTATCAGAGTTATATGTAAGTAAATTGATATTAGGACATTATTTTACTTATTTGACCTGTTTGTGTTTTACAGAAAGTCTCTAGATGGGTGAAATGGAAATGCCCATTAGCTGTTTTTGCAATTTATTATGTTCGTCTTAGAGTGAATACTGGCTAGACCTTGCTTGACTCCTTTGGACTTTAAATCTAGTGTTGAGGCTTTTGGATTCTGTGAGTGAAGTTACAGCAGTGATACAGTGATTAAGACAGTAACTAATGATGGAGCCTGGATTTAAATCTGATGCTTCAAAGCTTAGGCTTTTTGCCTTGCACTAGTTTCTCTTGGGAGGAGAGTGACATAATCAAAGCTATAGTCCAGCTGTAGTGAGCAGTATACACCAGCCAGAAGACTGATGCAGTAGTTCCTGGGAAGAAAGGTAAATAGAAGGTTAATTAACAAATGTGATAGACACTGGTCAGAGGAAGCCAAACCAAAAACTTTGTAATTTGAAGAGCATATTAATATACATAATTAGAGAGGGGAATAAAAGAAAAAGAAAGAGATGACCCAGCTGAGCCTTATTTGAAAGTTGGAAGCTTAAGCGTATCATTTTAATTCCTTTAATGATAGCTCAGGTTTTATCTTCCAGATTACTATTACCAGTTATTTTTAAAAGTCATAGCTTGAAATGCTGCTTTTGCCCACTTAACTTTAAAACATCACTGTGTATCACAGTTGAAAATAATTTCTCCTTCTTCTACAAGCCTGACTCTTTTAAAAGCTCTTACACAGAGTGCATGATAAATTTAACACCGAATCCTCCAGTTTATGCTTTTTTAGAAAGTGTAAATTTTAGTTTCCACCCAGTTGATACACATAAATTTTTCTCCCCTCTCAATAGTTTATACTGTTTATTTCACTCTCTGCAGCATCTACAGAACAAAATCTACCCAGTCAAAATGAGTTTCTTCAAGAGCCATTACAGGTAATGTCTCCAAATTAATTTTTCATTTATATTCAGGGAAGAATCTTTTGTTTTGGCAAGAATGGTCAGACTTACTGATTGTAATATATCTAACTAAATTATTTAAAATATTTTAATGATAACTAGGTTTTTAGATTTCAGTACAACTGGTCCTAAAAAAAGATTTCCTGAAGACATACAATAAAAATTAGCTGACTTTCCTAAGAGCAAGCCTGAACAATTCATAGGTATCTTGTCTGAAGAATAATATTACTTTGCTATTGAGCTACCTAAATAATTTTGTATGTCAGCACAGTAAAAGATCTGAGGAAAGAAACTAATTTTGTTTAACCCATGATTAACCAGTCCCCCCGCCCCCACAAAATAGTTAGCATCCCAAGGAACTAATTTCCACGGAACACACTTAGACATACAGAGAGCCCAGATCACTGAGATCTCTAAATGCCATGTTGCGTTTTCATCAACAGTAAGCCCAAAGTTCACTGGTTTTCTGGTCATTACCTTTTAAAAAACTTTCTCAGTGCCCCTCTGAAAATCTTATGACAGTTGTCTTGCCAGTAGCTGCTTGTGACAGTAGATTAAATATTTTGACTAGGTCGTTCAACAGTTGTAGCTTTCTCTTCCAAATACTTCTGAATGAATGAATACCTTTTGTTTAGTGGTTTATATATAGTTTGGTAAAATATGGCTCAATTTTCAAAGTGTATTTGTGGAGCAAGGTATATAAGTGGGTTTTTGTCCTACTTTTCCTCAACCCTACTCATTGCTTTAACTAAAGTGGTTCATTCTAGCAATTAGGGTTCTACTGAGGCTTTCAGTTGAAAAGTTAAAAATTTTTTGGAAAAGCCACTGATCTAGTTTAGTAGTTTTCCGGTGCAGGTCTGTGAGATGGCTGCATCAGAATCACCTGGGAATTCTTAAAGTATATCTATTCCTAGGTCTCACCTTAGATTTCATGGATCAGAATTTCCAGATGTGGGCTCTAGGCATCTGTGTTTTTAATAAGTTCCCTGGGTGAATCTGCACAGTCATTTTTGAAACTGCTGTTCTCAAACATCATGTTTACTCACCAGTACTTATACTGCCTACAGCTAATCTAGTTAAAGCGCAACGCAATGATTTGGAAGCAAGAAGTACGTTAACTTCTAAATAAGTGCTAATATAAAGACTATCTTTTTTGTTAAGTGAGCCTTTAACTAAAAGTCTTTTAAAGCTAAACTCTCAAGTGGACTGAGTTGCTTTAACTTAACGTCTGTGAATCTTTCTTTAGTATTACAGAATTACTTATGTCTCCACAGTAGACAGGCACACTTGTTTTGAGCAGTTTTACTGCACTATTTTAATGAGATGACTAGAAGGAAATGCTAATTTAAAAAACACTTTAGTCTCATAATAACCCTCATATTTTGGTCAGATCTAAGCTATACCTATTTATTTGAGTATATAAAATGCTCCAAAAGATTTCTTTTTTTTTCCCACAAGATTTTTAAAAAACCTTGATTCCCTACTCTTCTTCCCAAGAAGCAGCATGTCATGATGACCCCTTCAGAAAGTCACTGGGACATAACTTCTGATGTTTGTTACTATTCATTAGTTTTCAGTTCACGCATTTTATTACTTGGGCTTCTACAAACCACATGGAAGCATTTAGATACTAGGAGTGGCTTCAAGGATACTTGAGACCTTTCAGTTGCTTGATTTTTACGAGTGTCTGTTATCTTCTAATTGCTATGTCATAGAATTCCTTCCTAGTTACTTTCCGGAATCTTTATTGGTCACAGCCTTGTTTCTAACTGTGCTTTCTCCCAATTTTTATTTTATGCTGTATTTATCAACTTTAACTTTTTGTTAGGATTTTGGTGCCAGTTTTGATTTATATAGAGCTTATCTTTGCTATTTATACTTCTACCTAACTCTTTAAGATACTGAGAGCACTTGAGTAAAAACATAGTTACTATGATCTCTGGCAGATCTGTGCCAAGAGGGTTAACTATGCTCTGATATCATCTGCCAGTGAACTGCTACCGAGTGCCAGATTGAAAATCTACCCCCAGATTTCTAGGGTTAGGGATTAGGATTAGTGAAGATAGGATTGGATGTGTGGCTTTGGTGACCAGGCCTGGAAAGGCAGTGTAGCAGAGTGCTTGGATTTGATTCGCAGCTCTGCCATTTCATTTTAGTGTGATCTTTGGCAAATTGCTTAACCTTTCTTTGTCTCTGCCTGCCTGTCAATAAAATGGGAATTGTTGTACCTGCCTAATAGAGTTATTGTGAAGATTAAATATAGTAATATGTGTAAAATGTTTAGTATAGTGCCTGGCATTAGTGATTGCTCAATATGAATACTGTAACCTGTAAGGAAACCAGGGCTTAAGGAATATAAAGTGAACAAAATATGCCTTTTACAGTATTTTATATCTTTCTGTGTCTAGGCTACTTCTTCTCCAGTTACTTGTAGTTCAAATGCTTGTTTGGTTATTGCCGATCAGGCTTCTTCGGGATCTGAAACAGAGTTTATGACCTCAGAGACTCCTGAGGTAATAAGAGACCAACTGTCTTAATTTCTTTTCTGTCTTAAAGAGTAGCAGAACTAGTTTATCTCATAAATTACAGGGATGGTCATTTGAATGATTTAACATTTATACTTTACTTAATGTATTGTTTTCTGTAGATATTGTGGTCCTGGAACTTATACAGGTAACTTTATTGTGGCTTTGCCATATAACTGGATTTAATAATGTATTGCCTTATCAGATATAATAAATATGTCAAAATTTGTGATATCAAAAAAGAGTGAAAGTTCTAGGTAGGATTATGTCAAGTTGCTCACTACATTTACACTGAGGGAATACTAAGGAGAAAAATATTTATCCATATAACTAAAAACTCAGTAGACATTATTTTTATATTTTTAAATAATATTTTAGGTGAAAGTTTACACAGCAAATTAGGTTTCCATTTAACAATTTTTATACAGATTGTTCCATGACATTAGGTACAATTTTTGTAACATGTAAGCATTCTCATATTTCCATTCTGTTTGTTCTGTTACCATTTATCTAGCTTCCTTTCTCCTCCTTGCCTTCTCATCTTTGCTTTTGGATAAATGTTGACCGGTTGGTCTTGTATAGTTGATTGTTTAAGGGAGCACATTACTCATGGGTGATATTGTTTATTTTATGAGCCAATCTATTATTTGGCTGAAAGGTGACCTCCAAAAATAGCTTCAGTTCCAAGTTCAAAGGTTATTTTAGGATGATAGTCTCAGGGGTTCCTCTAGTCTATTTTTCCATTAGATGTGGCCTTTTTTTTAGGAATTTA